TGTTGACCAGGATGGTCTCGATCTCTTGACCTTGTGATCCACCCGCCTCGGCCTCCCAAAGTGCTGGGATTACAGGCTTGAGCCACCGCGCCCGGCCCAAAAACATTTTTTTAAAAGAAAAAGATTTTTTTATTCTCCAACTGACCCTGAAGGGAGCAAGCAGAATAGAGGGTATCTCATTTCCGTGTTTCCACAAAGCCACTGAAACAGGAATTTCATAAGGGTTCCTTCTGTCACCTATTTTCCATTTCTCTCCTTTGTCCCCAAACTTGCCCCTGTGCAGCAGCCAGCTCCTGTCACCATCTCTCTTTCAGAGGACTCCTGATGGATTTGACTCAGTGCCGCTGAAGACATCCTCAGGAGGCCCAGACATGGACCCGTGAAAGGCATCGCCTGCCTCGCCTGCCTCCTCACCTTGCATAGCACCTTTGCAAGTCTGCGGCGATTTGGGTGCCAGCGTCCTGCAACACCCACTGCTGGAAATCTCTTCATCGTGGCCTTATCAGAAGATGTTTGAATTTCAGATCTTTTTTTTATAGAGTACCCAAGCTCTCCTTTCTGCTTGCCTCAAACCTGCCAAATATACCCACACTTTGTTTGTAAATATGCCCTTGCTTGTATCTTGTTTCCCAAAATGGCCCATCCGCCAGAGCCATAGCTTCATCTGCTCATAATTCCTATAGCCCTGGAATGAAAATATTTCTGTCTTCTTAAGTATAGAAACTACTTCCTCTGTACTCTAACTTAAGGGCAGAAACAGCTTGGATATTTTTTCACGTGCCCGGAGCTCATGATCTCTTTAGGAGAGAAGCTGGGTGAGGAGGGTATCGGGGTTCCCCAGGGGACAATCTTCATGGCAGCCTGGATCCATTTCTCCTGGATAATCAGCTCAACGGGAGTAAAATGGGTAATCTGAGGGCAAGGTGAGTAAGGCTTGGGGAAGAAAAGGCTTGAAAAGCACAGAGAGGCAACAAGGAACCGTTTTGTTTTTGAAACGGCCTGTCACCTAGGCTGGAGTGCAGCGGTGCAATCACTGTTCACTGCAGCCTCAAATCTGTTGGGCTTAAGTTATCCTCCCACCTCAACCTCTCAAGCAGCTAGGACTACAAGTGTGTACCACCAGGCCCACTAATTTTTATATTTTTTGTAGAGACAGGGTTTCATCATGTTGCCCAGGCTGGTCTCCAACTCCTGGGCTCAAGTAGTCTGTCTGCCTTAGCCTCCCAAAGCACTGGGACTGCAGGCATAAGCCACTGCACTCAGCCTTTTATTTGTTTTTTAAACCAGGTAGCTCATTCCTTGTTTTAAGTAAATGATAAATATACTCACTAAAGCCAACGAAAAAAGTTCATCAAGAAAATGAGCCGGGCGCGGTGGCTCAAGCCTGTAATCCCAGCACTTTGGGAGGCCGAGGCGGGTGGATCACGAGGTCAAGAGAT